CTTTCATTATTGGGCATTACTGGGCATCTCTTTTCTAGATGATGAACTCAGTTAATTTACAGCAGACTATAAAGAGATTATATCTGATGCAAAACTAGTATAAGTAAACCTTATTTTCTGGAAAAAGTCCTTTGGTTTAAAATTAATCTTTAAAGACTGTTGGGCCAGACAGTGAAAGTTGTGCTATGGCTGGAAAGATTCATGCTGTACAATTTATGCATCAAAGTATTCTCAATGCACAAAAGGAAACTAATGGCAAGGAGACCAAGCCTATTATTTCAACTTCTGCAAAGGTAGATCCATCAGGTACCTTTTTGGCAAACAGGTTTTATTAGGGACAACTTTACTGCAGAATAGTGCGTTAGGATCCTAGATCTTTAAAAGTAGGGGCAAAAGCAGAAGTGAGGATTTAAATAACAACCACAGTAGAAATATTCTCTTGGGTAGTTGACTGACAGAAACACTTGTAGTTACAGTAGAAATTTCAGGACTCAAACAAGTTTTGTTTTGTTTTTAAACATGCTCAAATTTCTGAACAGTTCTCTAGAGGCTGACTTCTATGATTGATCTTGGCCAAGATTTTCAAACTTTAAGAAGGGAATCTTTACACGTATAGTGAATGAATCTCTGCCTTTTCAACATTCAAATACTCTAATGACTGTTTAATGACATTAATTTCTTTTACTTATGAAAATATCAACACTTGCTGACTAGATTTCCAACTTTCTCTATATACAGGATCTTCCCAGGAGTAGTATTTTGGTTAGGTGAGAGAATTGTATGAATACAAATGTAATTAAAAAGAATCTGAAATTTACAGTACAGTAGGGTCTTTGGTTTTTTTTAATATAGACCAATAAAGCTGCTGCAATTTTGTTGTCATAACATCAGGTTCCACTGTTAAGATAGCAACATAACATTGGAGAGGCCCTGTGCTAATAGTGGCTATTAGCCACTGCACCACATATGCTGGGGGGAAAAAAAAAAAAAAAGAAAAATGCAGAATATAAAGGCTTTTCGGTTTTGCCAGCAAAAAACAGACAACACCCTAAAGACAAGAAGTGGTCTCATAACCCACAACTAAATTATTCCTGAAAATAGCAATGAGAGTGATGAAAAATCTGTTTTCTCCCTCTGTCAGGGAAGGCATACAGAACTATGTTCCTAGCAAACATTTTTATTCAGTCATCAGAACAGTTTAAAAATTAAGAGCAGTTTGATGAAGAATAAAACATGCACCCTTCTATGGGTGAAAATTACCAGCTAGAAATACTGCTAGCACACACATGTAAGGCCACACAGATGGACCAACTACCAAGTGTTACATCAATGTTGCTGTTCTCATATTGTGATGGATTAAAATTACACACAATAAACTGTGGCTGAGACAATGAGCCCCTCCATCCATCATTCCAGGCTACTCTTATTCCAACCATGTCATCGAGTTGAATCAAGCTTATGACACATCTCGGCAGGGAGATTCCTAAGGAAGCCAATATCTAAACTGAGCACATGAATAATGCATTTTTCCACAAAAGCCCAAAACGTTAAATTTAAGAACAAGAGAGCTGAATTTTGCTGTGCTGAACAGGATCAAAATGGAATATTTTTAGAGACTTATCAGATCATTTCATGAAAATATTTTAGAATTTTATATCCAGTGTGACTTGCATATAGTATCTGAAATTGTATGAGCTTTCAAGATGCTGCAGAACTATAATAAAACCAGTGCGGGAGAAAGACCCACAAATGGAAAAACAACCACACACACACACACACACACACACACCACCAACCAAAACCCAAATTAAAAACCAAATGCTAGTAAGCTAAACTGAATAGAATTCCCATAATACAGCTGAAGACTCTTCTCTCTTCATGCGCTTAACAGCCTTGGCACAGTGTCCAGGCATGGCCGGCTCTCTGTTGGGGGCAACATTCTTGGCTGTGAAAGCAGAGCAAGCCCTCTGTCACTCATGGGGAGCAATCCTGTCCAACTGTCTCTTTTCAACAACTTTATCATCAATCTCTTTATTAACTGCTCCGCTGCAGACTGAGAACGCAAAACAAGGACAAACACACATGCCGGGGTTCATAGAAGAAAGATGCACAGCGTACAACACGTGTTCAGTTCAAGAAGTTGGAGTGGGCTTGAAGCAGCAGCAACAGTCCATAAAAACTAACATTTGCTTAATCATATTAAAAGCACACATTTTAATCCTGATTAACATCTTAATGGAGGAAGAATTTGAAATTTGTATTAAAATAAAACCATTAACGACCTTCAAAACTGAGAAACTCCCCTCAATTGGTTTCATCTTGCATCTCCATTTTAGCACCCATGCAAGTCAAGGGTATGATCTACTATACTATCTAGCTTTACGTCACTACTTAAAAAAACAGCTTCTATAGATAATTATCTGCAATGAACTTTAACAAAATCAGAATCAGAGTATTATTTAAACTACATAAGTTTACTAAGGGTAATGTTTATTCAGGGAAACTCATTTTTAGGAAGATAATTGCAAAAAAAATCATGAAGTGGAATTTGCTAGTTTGCAAATAAAAACCACACATCAACTAGGGACAACAGACAAATCCAAGACTCTCCTTTACTACGCTGTCCAGTATGTGTGGATCCTTGACATTATAAGGCTGTTTAAATGCATTAACTATTTTCTTAATTAAAAAAAAAAAAAAAAAAAAAAAAAAGATTCACCTTGCTTCTTATACATCAATATGGTGTTTTGCTTTTTTAAATTATTTTCTACCACAACTAAATCTTGCCTGGATACAATTTATTTGAGAACAGTAATTTACTGAAAACAGTTTCATAATATCTGCATATGACTTTTAATAGTTTTTTCCAGTTTCATCTGAATTAGTTTTTTGTGGCAGTTTTATTAGAATCAGTTTTCTGATTCTGGAACTTCAAAAGTTTAATTTTGTAAAACTGGTATTAAGGCATACACAGGAAGTTCTCATTTGTAATTAAACAGATGAAGTAAAAGCATTCCACTACACTATTAAAATGTACATACAAGACATGCAGATATTTTAGTTAACATGACCTAATCAACTTCTTTAAACGTGAAAATACTCAAAAAAAATTACACTGTAAGAATTAGATAACAAACAGTATAAGCATGCCTAAACTTGTTTAAAAAAATTAGTTTAAATATCCAAAAAAACAGATGGGACATTCAGCAGCGGTTCATTGCATCATCTTTTTCAATATAAAAAAAGTGTACTCTGAAGTTTGATATCAAAGTCTATTCTTTTGGTGAAGATAGTGGCAGATGTTTGTAGATATTTAAAATATTAGTCTAAACTTTGTAGATGTATCAAATTGCATCTGCCTCTATCAACAAATCCAAGAGGCTTTGTTTCTACTGAATAGATTGTTACTTCTTTAAAGATGATTAAACTAAACAAAAATGGTCACTGCTGCAATGCTCTATAGCATGATTAATGGGACTTTTTTTTTTTTTTTTTTTTTTTTTTAAGTGAACCTACGAGCTGCGAATAGAGTGAAAGTGGAGATCTTACTTACAAAAATCCCTTTGTTTAAAACATACCGTCTAGTTCAGCTGCAATTAACCCCACGAGATGCAAGACACCCAAAGCTACTTGACAAGTAGACACGGCCGAGTTTTTAAGAGAGCAGATGTTATGACCATTTTAACAGGCAAGAGTCTTCAAAAGCAGCCACCTCTCTTGCAAAACACATGTACTATAAGAACACAAGCAAATGGAACAAACATCAAAAGCTATTTTCATTTTACTACAGAATGTTGCTACAATTAGAGTATGGCTTCCAGCTTTAGTGTCCAGACTCTTTAGTAGCATGCTTGGTACCTTAGCAATAACATTCCAGTTTGTCTTTTTATTTAAAAGAATCAATAATATGAAGCTTAAGAGCAGACTTGTCAGGGTACTTTACTGATGTGTTCTCTTGTACTGTGATTAGTACTTAGCTAACCTTCATTTTCTACCACCAATACAACAGGTCTTAAAAGAGCAAAAATCTGCGTTAAGAAATGTTGTAAAACGATAACAACAACAAAAAAAAAAAATCACAAATTTAGCTAAATTAAAAATTCAGTAGAGCCTGACTCAAATTAAACATACCTAAAAGGCAACTGACTGTTGAAATTAGGTAGCTATTTCATTAAAAGTACACCAGTTTCAATATCTTTAAGTAGTAAATCAGTGACATGAGTGCAAGGTACCCAGAACAAACTGGTTTTTAAGCTAATAAGGAAAAAAAAGCAATTGAATGTTGTGAATAATCTCACAGTAGGGCTTGTTGTTTTAAGTAGGTTAATTCTAATAAAAAGGCCGCTATCATTGGTAGGTTGATTAGTTTAATAAATTTAAGTTAAAGGCACTACTCATTTGATTAAAGATACTTGCATTAAGTGTTTGCAGGATTGGGGTGGTAGACTAAGAGTAAGATCAAGTGCTGCACTACTGTTAGTTTTGAATTAGTTGCCTCAGTATATGTTTAGACTATTGGAAGAAAAGAGAAAGAGTGCCATCTGCTGATAACTAAGAAATAATCATTTCCAAGTAAAGCAAAAGTCCCATGCTGGCTAGAGTACACTAGAGAATACTGTTTCAATTAATAGTTTTTACCTTAGATAAAAATAAAAATGCCACCCCACACCCACGTCCCAGAATCAGTTAGGCATCATAATGAGAGAACAAGAAATTGGTATTATTCAACTGAGTTCAACTCTTTTTAAAATAAACTAGGGAGAAAAAACACCAAAAGTAAAAAGCAAAACAAAAAACCCATACACAACAGCAACTATTTTCTTTTAACGAACTGGCAGTTTTTAAAGATCAATGCTAACTTACAGAATATTCTTTTATGTGCTGCTCATTTCAGACGCATATTATATGCTAGTAGGAACAAATTAATTGACAAGTTTGAAATAAACAACAGGTAAAGCAATTTTGGACATTTGAGGGGAGGGGAAGAAATCAGACAACTATGGGATTGTGCTGTTTTTTATTGTGTTTTCAATGGAGAAATACATCATCTGTTTACAAAATAGCTCTTGAAAAATACAAGGAGTACAGATACTATAAAACAAAGCAAACTCCAGTCATGAGACACTACGTACATCATGCGAAAGCAACAGTCTGATCTCCAGGTTATGAAAACTAGAATTAAAAAGTCACTATACAGAAAGATTCCAAGTTTCCAGCTTGGCAAAACTTGGGTGCAGTTACATGAAACGTTTAATAAAATGAAAAAAAGATTTCCGAAAGTGTAAACAAAACGACAAGACTAAATTTGTGCCTGGCAATTTCGATCTAAACTCCATAGCTACACAAAATACACAGACACCTTGTACACTTCAAATGTTAGTATAACCTTCTTTGGGGGGTGGACAACAGTAGGCTGCACAGGGCAAGGAAGAGAGAAATATTGTATACTAGACATCTTAGACAAATGGCAAAAAAAGTAAAAAAGTTCTGTTACTGCACAGCCTAAGGGGGAAAAAAAAAAGAAAGGCAAGCTACACTCTGACTTTGGAAAATTAATTTAAAAGGATAAGGGGAAGAGTGTAAGTAATTTAGTTTTAACATGAAAGATGCACATGTAATAGGATGGAGCACAATGGGAGCAGGGAGTTTATAAAACATGCTAATCGGAAAATATGGGAACTATGATTTACCATCCCATTTATTTCAGACTAAGTAATAGTAACATGAAGTTTTTTATCTACATCTGGTATTATCACTGACATCACTCATGTTCCCTAGACACTGGTGTTCTGCTGCTTATCCATGAGAGTCAGTTCTTTTAAAGAAAAAAAAATGTTTCTAAATTTGTGACAGGACTACAGAACAAAAGAAAGGCTTAAACAGAGTTTACTAGATGCCAAGTGCTTACTAGAAATATGATTTTAAAAGTCAATGTTGTTCAGTATGTAAAACTAGTTTTGATGAGCCATCTAAAACTAAAAAAAGGTTAAAATCTTTGGGGAACAATATTTTGACTTAATTTAAAATTTGGACCTTCTTAATGCAGACAGGACTTCCATGGAGTGTACAAAAATTATCTTATATTTAGTGATCAATAGGCCATCACAACAGGTGTTACGCTTCACAGGCACAGTTTATTTACTTTGAAGTTTTAGCCATGGGACAAAAATTTGGAGTTTGTGCCTTGGGGCTACAAGTTACTGGGTGTATGTACCTAACACTGTGACTTTACATAAGAGATTGCTTTCAAAACAATTTCTTACTTTGTGCATACAAGCTGCAAAACAAACAAAAAAAACCAACAAAAAAACCCAACTAAATGAAAAGCTTTTCCCAAGAAATATAGAAGTAGGATCAGAAAGGGAATAACAAGTTTAATTAGCTCAAAGGAAAGTTTATTTGCTGTTTGATCGCTGATTTGTATGCACCATAAAATAATCCTATAAATAAAAATAAACCACATCTTATTTATGTCCCATCAAATACTTCCCAATTATTTTCTCAACATGTCATATAACCTCAAGATTTGACATTTTATTTTAAAGGTTTACTGCTACTTGTTGATAGTAGAACTAGATACACCATACACTTTTTCTTCAATGTACAGAATATCATAGAACGTTGTCCAATTTGCAGATTTGTTAGTATTGAAGAGATTCTTCAGTAAAAATGAAAGCATATCAGCTGAAGATCTAAAATTAGTCATACTCCAATAAAAAAGTACATAAAAGTGCATTTAAGGGATACTTATATGCCAGTTTTATCTCAATTTATTTTTTCAAACAATGCATCAAACATAAATCTAATCAGAATGTCAAGTATGGCTACAAATAGTGTTCATGTTTATCTTTAAAGGCAGTAATCCTTCGAAATAGTTAAATGCAACTGTTGCTAACACATTAATAGTACTCCTGGCTTCACATCCTAACCTGGACTTCCAATCAAGTGGTGATTACAGCCCAGTAAGGGAAGTGCACAAAATATACCTAAATCCATTTGCAGTCTTGTTTTAGTCTTGCACCCTCCGTTCTCCTTTTTTTTTTTAGCATTAGAAGACAACAGGTTGAGTTGGCAGATATTGTTTATGGACCCCTGAGGTTGTTTTTTCTTTACCGATTCAATCTCAGTTTTATTGAATTCTTGATAACAGGAATAGGATTTGCAGGGAGAGCAGGGATATCTGAAAGGTCTGTACTGGACGTTTTCTAAGAGGAAGAAGGAAAAAGGAAGAAAAAGTGTTAGATGCATTTCAATTCCAGAAGATCTAAACATTTGAGCACCAGTTTTAAAGCTTATTGAATTGATTTGGGTATCCCAGAAATACACCAAGAATAGTGTTAATCGCAAAGAGAAATGCAAGCATTTTGTTTGTCCAGAGAAAAACAGGAAAGAAAGTTTGTAAAGAGTCCTTCTCATAGAACACATTTAGTTTTCTACAGGCTTATGAAATGAGGAAGAAAACCCCTACAAACAATAAACTCGAACCCATTTGCAAGATATAACACTTGAAAATTTTAACCTGCAATAGGGTTTGCAAGGAAAGCAGGACTAAACTCAAAGTGATGCTTCATAAGGGATACAAACATCTTGATTTTTGTTCTTTCAATTTATTTTATTTAAAATGGCTTTAGACTATTTGTAGGGACCTACTTAAATCACCGTTTTGCGATTTCTGCGTAAAGCGTGAAAAATGGCAGTTTCCACGATCACTGCGAAAAATGGCGTTTCCCACGATTTTGCATGGAATCACCTGAAAAAAAATTAAAGCTTACTGGAATCCAAAGAAAGCACAGCAATCCCTCCAGCTACGAGCACATGGTTTGAGAGACGGCTACCAAGAGGCTGAGCTAGCAACAGATTCAGTGAAGATGCCAGTCAGGAAAGCAAAAGGGTTTTAGCACCATCTTTTAAGAAGGTGGATGCAACGCTGTACTATGAAGATGACCGACTAGCCTCCTGGGCAATCAGTGAGGGATGGGGCTACCAGGGACGCTCAGCCAATCATTTGCATTTGGGGAGGGAGGGGCGGGAGGGTGGATTTGCTGCGAAAAGACTGCAAGAAAATCGGCACCACATGCCACAAGCAGCTTATGAAAATCCCTTCATTTTGTTGCGATTTCAGTAGGTCCCTACTTATTTGATATACAAGACACGCCCTTGTAGATGTACTAACTAGTACACCCATTTAGAGTAACGTTTTATTTTAGAAAAAAAAACCTATACAGTCAAAGACTGATGACTGTAGTTTTATATTACAAGCAAATTAATGGAACATCGGAAAGCCTTGTGCGACTTGTCATTCAGGTGGAACTAAAAGAATTGTTTACATCTAAAAATTCTCAGTACTGTACTTAGTTCAAAATGGCTTTATCAGTTTGCCCTGTTACCACTGCCCGACTCATTTACACTTTTCACAGTAAAAAAAACCAAAAACAAACAAAAAAACCCACACCCCTATAAATAGCCTAGTACTGGCTGATGGCCATGAGCACATACTACAAATCTGGAATTGCTTCATGGAAAAAAGTTAAACCAGCATAATTTGTTTTTATTTATGAAAAAGAAGAAAGAGTCAACACAAATGCAACAAGATTGTTAAATATAAAGCAAATTAAGGAATAGAAGCACACAAAATAAGAGATTTAAGATTCATTATGAACAAAGTAGGTATTATTATACGCTTAAGAAACCACTTATTGTGATCAAAAAATCATTCTCCTGCTCACTTTCCTAAGATGTCATCGTGACATCACTGCAATCAAACTACTTTTTACCATTCTAATAAGTTATTGGGTAGTTTATATCTGGTATAAACTGGTTCAAAAAGTCCTGAGTTTTTGGTGGATGAGAAGGGACACTATACAAAAACAACTGTTTTGTTTGTGGGTCCTTTCCTGTCAATGAATTGATAGTTTTGATGGGTATGACAGTGAAAACAGAAGAGGGCAACTTAAGGAGTTCGGTGAACTGTTACAGGCTGGGTCAGCAGCACACACCTGTCTCTTCCCACCCCCCGCCCAGCTCACCCAAACTCCTTAAGTGGCTCTGCCCCGCGCTCAGCCAGGTGGATTGGATGGGGTCATCGGCAGGCAGGAGCGGCATCCAGGAACGGGATGGGCAGACAGTGCCAGGATCACTGGATGGTGACAGCATGGGTCAGGGCCCACGGCAGAGCCACAATCCGCTTGCTTCCTGCATGCACGTGACAGGTGCTAGTTGCGTGGGCAGGGACATACAGGGAACAGATCACAGCTGTCCTAGGCCACAACCCCATGCTCCAATCCTGTGCCATCACCACCCAGTGATTCTGGGGTCTCCATGGAGATTGGCTGGGACCCTGAGGGCAGGGATGTCCAGGACTGGGACATATGGTTCATCACAGCATGGGACTGGGGCCCAGGGCAAAGCCACAATTTGCTCCCCACACACCTCTGCCTGCAGAACCCGTGCCCATTGTCTGGTGGTAGCAGAAACTGGCAGTGAATCTGGCCACCGTGCCACCTCAGCCCCACAGCACACCTGGAAGCGGATTCAGCTGCATGTGCCACAGCCTGGGCTGCCCCTCACACCTGGGTTGGGCCAGGCGGGTGCCACAGGCCAGACAAAAATCCCTTGGAAGGCCAGATCCAGCCTGCAGGCTGTACTTTGCCCATCCCTGGCATGCAGAAATACACCACAACTACATTTTTAGGTGACTTAATAAACAGAAAAAAGAAATGCATCCTTGCCCACTTTCTAGGCCACACTGGCCAAATTTTCTATGTTTTTTTTTCCCCTTTGTACTTTCCATTTTCCTTTGACCCTGAGGAAGCAGAAGGGGGGCGATAGTGGCTGTGAAGGTGCAGAGGCTAGTGCCAGATGAGGATAGCAGGGACAAGATCAGGCTGTGCTCTGCTCTTTCCATTATTTGCCCTGTGTCTGTACCTGAGGGGGTGAGTATAGTTCCTGTTGCCAAAGCTATTCCTCAAGACTTGCATGTCAGTGATCATAGCCACCTACCCTCACAACCCCTCCCACCAACCCTGGGAGCGTGGGAGGAGTTGGGGAAGAAGCTGGGCTGCAAAGCAGATCCCCATGTCTCCCAACAGGACTGAACCAGGGAGTCTCCTGCCTCTAGGGACTGACTCCAACCCTCCTGTGCAGGCTGGGGGGGCTGCATCTGTCTGGACTGGCCACCATGCCTGTGGGATGCTGAGGCAGAGGGGCAGGAACAAGTGAGCACATATTCTTCATTGTGGCTATTTTACTTTAGTAGGCCACTCAGGTACTTTTTCCACCCCTTGGGGAAGACGAGAGTCTGGGCCTGGAAGTAGCCTTATGAGCTTGCTTTCCAACTGGCACCTCATTATGTTGTTTCATTTCATTGGGTAGGTATGAGACCTCCTATATTCAATATTATGTTTCTGCTGTGTACTAAACAGTGTTAAACATTGGGCTTGTGAAATTATGAGTTCGTAAAGGCCTCAGACTACAGCCAGTATATCCTTACCAGGCCTCCCCCAACAGGAGATGAAGTCTCATTTAATCTGCTGTAAACTGTAGCCTAATGATCTACCAATAACAGAATTACTGTTCTGTTATTCAGTAAGAGTTCTGTTAAGCCTGGTCCTCAATAACTCTCTCGCTCTATTTGTTCCTCTCACTCCCTCCGGGAAAGGGTGAAGGAAAGGGTTATAACACTAAGAAAAAATGGGTCCTTGGTTTATTATAATGCAGTTATATCAGTGGAGCAATAACAATAACTTCAAACTTCAGTAAAAAAAATATTGTTTTATAACTGAAACAACGTTACTTATGGAAAAAAATCTTACTAAAAAGTTGGCAAAGCAGCAGCATAATTGATGATGTATTCTTGTCTATATTATCTATTGATAATGTAGAGTAAGGATTAAACAACTGCTACCAGGCCTAGCAGATCAGAGATACTACTTCACCAACCTTAGGTATTGCAATCTGAAGTTACATTTCACACATTTAAGGCTTAATCAACCACCCCTGAACAGCAAGTATTTAACTGATGTTAGACTTGAGCATACACATTTTTACACCAATATTAGACTTGTTCACATCAGTATAGTCAGTGAAGAGATACAATTTCCAGTGTTATTTAAATTTAGCATAGAATGACCTTAGAAAAAACTTAGGAGTATACTATATACTACAGCAAAGTGTTGAGCTGCCCTGATTTGCCATTCTCTTAACAGAAAAGGTTATTATTTACTCCTGTGGCATCTAATGGTGAGGAACCATAAAACCATCACCTGCAAGAAGCTACCCTAGTCTATCTCAGCCGTGGGTGTAAACCCATATAAAGTTACACCAATGTCTGTGCCCAGTGCTCAGCCACCTAAATAGGGAAGTTTTCCTTTATTATATCATAATGTACAAAGGAAAAAAAAGAGATCAGTGCTTAACACAGGTCTCAAAGTTTAAGGGCACACTTCTGTAGAATTTGTATGACTGTGTTCCAGCTGAAGTTATATGTTAAGTTTAATATGTTGAGTTATATGTTAAGTTTAAGAACTAAAATGTGTGTACACAAGCAAATTATGATAATAAGCAAGCAATTAGCTTGCCATACATCACAACATTTGCTATTATAAAAATCCTTGCTCCCTGTATTATTAGAATTTGGGCATGCTTTGTTATCTTGAATTATCATGCTTTGTCATGAATTGCATCCATGTAGTTGTGTGCATGAAACATCATTTTTGATGTCAGTACCTGAGGAGCTTGCAGAGATGCTGTTGTCTGCACAGTTTCTGTTTGGGAAGTAATATTAGTTTCTGTTTCAAGTTGTTCCTATAAAAGGAAGAGAGAGAGAGAGAGAGATTGGGAAGGGGAGGGGAGGAAAAAGGGGAACAAAAACATGACTTAGTCTGCTTATATGCATCCTTCATGAGCTACACAAATAAAGTTCTAAAAACATAGGCCACGATCCTGACAAAATGTGCCCAGATAGAACTCCATTAAAATCAGAGAGGCTCAGGCTGTAAACGCACAGGGCAAGAGAGGCAAGAATAACTGCCCAATGAATCGCCAACCATTCTTGCAGAACACAAAAATTCATTGATTACCTATTAGAATAACTAGCAGCCTGTGGTAATGCCTATTTCATATTTACGTTGCTTTCAGGTTAAGTGATATTTGATCTATCACTTGTTTTACCATCTGCCTTGTGTAGTCTCTACACACAGATTTTTTTTTCCATTGCGCTCTTTAAGAAAAAAATTGTCTTTTTTGGGGCCCCAAATTTCTATACAGATTTCTAGTGTGTTCCCCCATATTCAGTTTAGAATGCTAGAAAGTCTCTTCACATGTGAATAGCACGTCAAATACATGTACACACAATGCTACAAGACTTGCTGCAGATTAAATTGCTTGCTTTTTCTAGTCCTTGCAATTTTGAAAGCAATCTTATAATTGTGAACCACTGTAACATGGTGTTCCTTAAGTCTGGTATGAGCCTGAAATAATGACTAAAATGAGAACTCTCCACTGATTTCAATAGGGAAATAACTCTGATAACTAGATCAGCTTCTCTATATAAAACATAACATTAAACACATTGTTTTTACTATAAAACTCAGATCTCGCTAAAACCAAAGTAGGCATTCAAATAAATACCCATCTTGATTCTTGGTTTAATACCAAAAATAAAGGATTTTAGCACAAATGATGGCATTTATTTCATGATTAAACTGCAATTTCTAAGCTTAAATGAAGTGTAGAACCTCAAATATGAAAAAATGCAAACTGGAATTTAAGGCATAGCTTGCTCTCAAGTTCATTAGGCTTGGTCATACCTAAAGGAAATATACACATACCTTCTGTATTTCCCCCATTTATACTGAAAATGATTAAACAAATCATCTTAAATAAACCTTCAAAATAAAACTGGGCTGCTTGCTGCTGACAGAGACCCATGCAGACACTTTACCTTAATATAACTAGACTTTTAATATGACTAGACTTTAAAGTAGTAGCAGCTGAAGGAAAAGGTGATAATGCCATATCCAATTTAAATGGACCATAACAGAGGAGCAAGCATAAAAACCTGCTGCACCAGCTAGTCCATATTTTATAAAAGCAGCCTGATTTAATTTGTGTGTTTGAAATTGACAGACTGCAATGGAAACATAATTCACTTATTAGCCTCTGTTTCAAAGCAGTCTACGAGATGAACATGGAGGACACTACTAACACTAACAGCATGGGTTAGAGAAACATGGCTGAACTGGGGAAAGGTTCGAGTTGTAGAAGTAGCATACATACCTTAATTTCCATTGTATCATGATCACCTGCATCAAGACAACTCACATCTTCATTTATTTCATCCTATTAAAAAAAATATTAAAATACATTAATGCATGTTAAAATGTGACAAGCAAAAAATCTTTAGCAAAATTCAAGACAAACTGGGTTTACACACAGCCTTGTAAAAATGAACAAAACCATGTGTTCCTAAAGATAAATGTAGAAAATGTTTAATATTTATGCTACTGTATGAAGCATAGCAAATAACGTAAACTACTTTTTGGCTTCCAACAAATATTGTTTCATTACATTTAAAAATACTGTGGACTACCCACATAAGCATGCCTTATTACACAAAACCACCACCCATTAGACCAGTGGTTTTCAAACTGCCTACAAGTCAGGGAACCCTTTCTTTCACTACTTCTGCCATGGAATCCTTACCCCTACCTCCATGGGCCTTGTGAGCTGATGCAGAGCCAGGTGACCCGGCCAAGCAATGGCAGCGCACCACCTCTCCGCTTGCTCTGCCATAACCCCAATCTCTTTGCAGAACCTCTGATGACCTATTTTGGAACCCCTGGGTTCCTTGAAACACAGTTTGAAAATTACTACATTAGACAGGAGGAAGAAAGTAGATACCTATTTAGTTAAAGGCATTCATCATGAATCACAAAATGGATCAACTCTATACCCAGTAATCCAGCTGCCTGCAACTATAATTGACAGGCCAAATTTCAGAGCAGCTTCAAAGAGCTAATTTAAAAAAAAAAAAGTTGTCAGAAGTTTCCTCTATTCCACAGAGATGTAATCTCTCCTAAAAATGCATGTGGCTGAAACACCGTACAGAGAGCACACTCAGTTCTGGACCCGAGAGATTTAATGTTCTAGCTATCTCAAACCATTTAAGATAATAAATGAGTACTATACCCCAATAGAAAGCTCCACTTTCAATAGGGCACAGAACTTGCTTCCAGGTTTTGAAAATCCCAAGACATCAGACCTGAAAATTCTGACATTCAGAATGGGAGCATGACGGTAGGTCATTTTTAGACATTTCTAAAATTGTTACACGTTTTTTCCCCCAAAAGCCTGTATAATTAGCCGCATGGTAAACAAGCCAAAAAAGGTAAAGGAAGATAGTAAGAAAGAAAAAAGTAAAATGCTTGGAAAACATTTTCTATAGTATGCTACACATCTATATTGCACTATATACATGCATTATGGAGGCCTTATTAGGATTTGTGTGGGTGACTTAAGTAATGGGGACATCCAAAACACTTCACATAAAAACATTTAAATCATGTCAATGTTATACCACATTCAAATTCCTTCAGGCCCTTACATATTTATTCCCTTAAGTGAAATTCAGATCTGACTGTTTATCTCCCTTGGGGTCTTTTGAAAATGCACACTTTAAACTAACCAAAGTACACGCAACCAGGATATTAATAGTGAAGACTATTATAAATATTGCAGCCAAATTTTAAAAGTATGACTCCTACTTTGAAATGACAAAAGTATTAATATGAACCCACGAACAAACCAAACACTTCTTTTAATTAAAAAATAATGGTCAGTAAAAGATAGTTGTGTTGCAACTTTCAGTTGATGATTGAGCTTTGAACAAAAAGAAAAATTAATTTTTTAAAGAGATTTTACTGCTTCCAAGGCTGCTTACATTTTTTTTTCAAAGAAAAGGATCACCGAATCATTTTCCATTTACCATGTTCTTCCAAAATTAGATAAGGTAAATGTCCAGTCATATAAAATGGACATTAGAAATACAGGTTGAAGACTCAGAACAAACTAAAACACACAGTAATTCAAGTTTGCAAATTTGACAAGAATGGAAAAATAATGCATCAGATTTAATCTGTTAAATCTGGATTAACTCGGTTCTTTATTCTTTGTTATCACTGGGAAATGTTCTAGAATGAATTGGTGTGAAGTATGTGTGTGTTTTAACATTATAAAGATGAAAGTAACACTTAACAACATAATTTCTCTTAAGAGCCTAACCAGCTAGAGTGAGGAAAAAAAAAATGCATTGTTGTATAAAAGATTTTCCTATGCAATACTACCATGTATCAAATTTTCATGCAAGAAACAATTATCATAGTACAACTTCTGCTGCCTGGATACAATTATGATCTCAAAAATAAAAATACCTCTTCTGTTTTTAGTTTTTTAGGAGACTCTTCTTTATGAGGAGAAGATGTTCTCTTCACTCCAACAACTGGGCTTGGTATTTTTGTTGCTGTATTTCCTGCAGTTCTTGGTGTCTGATTTACCAGACGTGTTGAAGAAAGAACTCTAGAGATGGGAGGCTTTGGTGGTGGAGAAATGGCTGGCTGTGTGGCAGTTTGAGGAATGCTTTCACCTGAAGTACCTAAGAGGTAAAATACAACATATTTTAAAATTACTTAAATGAAGCTAGCATTACATTCGCACACTTTGTTTCACACGTTTGTTTTCCTGGTATTTTTATCTAAACCCACAGGTGCCGAGGACAGAACAGGTAATGTAGTGACCTAAAAGTTCAGACTGCATAAAAAAAATAATTAAAAATGCAGGCTTTTATCAATCAACCAAAACCCACATCTTACAGCATCCAGGGGAAGACATAGGCAAAAAGTTATCTGCTCAGTGAGGTCACTAAAAGTTAGGGTTATTCTCCATGTTCATGAGAAGAGTGCCCCATCCCTGAATGCCATAGTACATTTTGTGAATCAATTGGCTGTTTCCATCTAGCCACCAAAGACGGTTACACATGTGGAGTTAGTGTAGCCCTCTGGGCATCTTTAGGATGAAAGGCATTAAGTACAATTACAACAGAGACCACTAATCAACATTAATGGGTCACAGCCATACTGCTGATTGAGGCATGCGAATTAGCAAACAAGAGGGACACTTCTGTCAATACCATTTCTTAAATTCCAAAACAGCATGCCACCCCCGACTCCACTTAGCACTGGCTAACAAGAATGATACTAATGCAGATACAATTGCGATTTATGATGCAGGACCAAGTATTTAAGCCAGGTTGGTCCAGTATGGCTTTAGTAAAGGTGCTGCAGGAATACAGAGAAACCAAGTAGAATGGAAGCTTTTAGGCAGGACAATCTTTTTCCAGCAGTTTTAATTTATTCCCTTGTTCTAGTTCAAAACTTATCATACAAGTGAAGATAACAACCAAGAATTTAACTGAAAGCATTTTCTGTAGCTACCTTTACCCCCTTCTTGAAACATATCTTCTATTCAGTGCTATGGAACCAACTTTACTAATTCTTCAGCTCAGACATGGAATAAGCAAGCTTGAAGAAACACTGACATAGCTAGTGTTTGATGTCTATTAGGATTCCCTGTGTTCCAGAAATGGTTCCAGTGAAGCAAGAGCAGCAGAAACCTGGCTCTGCTTTACTTTGCACCCACCTCCAAGTTTAACCGCATTCAAAAGCAGTGTTAGCATCATAAAAATAGAAAGCTCAAGGCTTTAGGTTGTAGGCATTTTTCCCTATTTGACATAGGCGGAAGCATGACCATCACTTGCATTAGGCCTGAACAAAGTCAGCTTTGCTACAGTATACAGGAAATATCTATTTTAAGGGACTTGCCAGTTACATAATGTTTACTATATTTTACATCTATTATGGCTATGTACAAAAGCCATAATATAAACATCTTATTGAAATTCCTGTAAACAGTATGTTTAATTATTTGCTTATATAAATAATGAATATGCTAACAAAAGCAATTATCTTTAAATCACTTCAAAGAGAAAACAAGTTAGAACATGCAGCAGGTAGGATATGATTTAAATCAAAACAATTTAAACCACTATTTAAACCACTACTTAAACCACTGGTGAAGAAGCCTCAATTTAATCACTGTTTTCTACAAGAAGTGCATTCTTGTTGTCTGATATCTTCTATTCATTTAACTTCTTGAAACTTTGCACTTTTAGAGAGAGGTAAGGGCTTAACTCTGTGTACACAAACCTGCAGACAATAGGGCTCATGGGTAGGTAATCAGGTCTGTTATCTCTCATTTCCATATACTGCTGTTAACAAGGATGTTATCTCTGGAGACACAAATACACACTTTGAGAACTGAAACTAAGCATCACAGAGATGGTTAACGGTATCTTCTAGACTGAGCACTAAGTCCGATTGGGTACAGTAGTTTTCTTTAATTTTTAACTCATCTACAGGGATCTGGGTTTTATGTTTCCCATGGAAAAACAAACAGAGTAAACGGTGGATTTTGCCTTTTACCAGAGGCAAATGTGGACTTCTGATTTTACAAGAGAAACCAGTAAATTTTGCCATTTTGCAATGAGCGCTCATGAATTTTGGGTTTTTTAAGCACAGAAAACCAGGATCCCTGCTCATCTATAGAGGAACCTCTGGGAACCCCATAAGACTGGGCTTCAATATAGTCCATGGCCTGTTGTGACCTATTTATAAAACTTCTAAAAAGGGTACATGACTATATTGTCTCAAATAGTATACAATTAAAAGGTATAATCCCTATTCCATGATGGTATCTTTGAGCTTTAACACATGCAGTAAATTTCACTCCTGAATTAGGATGCAAGTGCTCATACCCTCTCTTTGACTTTGATAAAATCCCTCAAAGTCAATACAAATACAGATTTGCCACTTTCCTTACCCCCTGAGCTTTCACTGGAATTTGTTTGTGGCACAGTGACTTCAGAAGCCTGTGTGTTGGTCACAGATGTTGCTGTTACAGCTGGAGCAGGACTGCTTCTGCTAAATGGAGAAAGCAAAGGGGTTAATGCACTAGCAATTATAAAACCCATATAGTATTATATATAGTTCACTTTTTATCACAAAGTGACAACATGGCCAGAGTGTCATTGCTCTTATTTTGTCCACTACAGACAATATGCGGCCAGAAAAGTCTAAGTCATATCAAAATAATTCGTTGCGACAAGGAAATAAAGCTACTACAATAGATTTTCCTTATCATAAGTCTGCACTAAGCAAAAGGTTTCAAATAGTAGATTTTATAAAAAAAATAAACTCTTTAAAAAAAACCAAAAGTTTGATGATGTTTAAAAATGAAGGCAAAATGTATAGATAACATCCTTCCAAAACTGCAAACTGATCAGTCAATCATTTTCCCTCTGGAATGCAGCAAATACAGTGGAGAAGACTGGTGAGCAAAATACCAGTCTTAGAGCACATTACTGCTATAAATTTATAACTGTCCAATTAAGGAACAGAGATTATGTGCGACTAACACTGGCAATGGAGTTATAGATTTTTCAGCATCAAGAAGGGATGCATGAAGTGTTTAAAAAAAAAACAAATTTAGTCCAAGCAGGATCTCACCCCTGATTTGCTTAGCAACTGAACAGAGCTGCTTTCAGAAGTGCTCAATACTGTTAACATCCTGATAGTTTACCCAAAGAGTAGTGCTGCTGTACAGTCTCATCACAAGTAGTAAGACAAGCGTGCTATTTAAAATACATATAGTATGATGCAACAAATATATAGTGCACAGTGGCAGGGAATCCATATTAACTATTTTGTATGTCAACAGCTTATTTCAAATAATACTCTAAGAAAAAAATGGAAAAGCCTTTTGCTAAGTGTGGACTTAAGGAGCATGCAGTGCCTTATTTGAAATAAAAAAGTAGGTCTAATGTAAAATGTAAATGTAAAATATACCCTCTTTGAAAAAAAGTTAAAAAGCACATGCTCTAACACAACTATTTCTAAATTATATACTTTATCCAAGTTAGGATTGGAAAGTTACCCCTGAGAACTTCCAGAACTGTTCAATGGGCTTGTCTTCATAGCACTAGTAGGAGAAGGCACAGACGTGCTGTTATCACTGTCCATAGATAAGTCTAGGCTGCTGTCATTCAACGTTGTCAATCTGACCCCTTCCGTTGAATGCTGTAAATCACATATTTTAACCCATTAATAAATCATGTGGTTAATATTCCATCAAGGGCTCAGAATCAAATTAAATTCAGTGAAGCACTATTGCAATTCTACTTATAAAACGTTAGTTCAGTGGGGGTCGGGGACATAAAGAAAGAGGAGAAAGAGTAAAAAAATGGACAAAGCTTAATACACATTCAATCTGAAACTACACTGACAAGTTAACAGCCAGGACTTCAGGGTTGAGTAACCTGGCATACTTCTCCCTGTTGAAAATTAAGTGAATTTATCAGATCCAAAATAACCAGACATCAATGCTGTCATTCTACTTGTGTGAGCACACTGGACTACCATACATTTATAAAAAGGAAAACTATTAAAAAAACCAAAACCAAACACCAACAAAAAAAACCTGTCATTTTTCAATCCCTAACAAGGTAAAAAAGTGTTGTCAACCTCCAAACTAGAGCAAAATGTTAGTCCCTGGCCCTCTCTACACATTAGAGGCATCATGAAATTAACTGATTAATTTTGCAATTAACTAGTTAAAACCAGCTACATGTGCAAAATACTTATCACATGATAAAAAGCTCTAACCAGCTATAAAGTTAGACCTTAAAAATGTGTTCTAACTTTATAGCTGGTTGTTATGGAGCTGTAAATTTGCACTTGTAGCCAGGTCTCCCCTACAGCTGGGAGTCCCAACAGCTGACAGAGCTGAGCTGCAGTGATATGCCATGCCCTCCATGAAACACTGGGCTGGGCGACTGCAGCAGCCACAGTCCCTGAAGCTCAGGGGCGTGTGAAGCCGCCAGGCCTGGGGGATTGCAGCTTATGCACCCAAGCCTTGGGGATCACAAACGTAGCATCTCAGGAAGCATGACTGTGTGGATTACGCATTAGATTAAATCATGCCTTTACTTGGACATGGAGAGTGGCCCAACTGACCTCTGGAAGTCTTTATGCTCTTAAGCTTTAGGTATGTTAGCAATAATTATCATGACAGGTACAAAAACTGGGCGGCAACAATGAACTCAATATTCTTCTTAATCGTAACAAATTTACTTGATTGTTTTATGACCTACTGAGAAAAAAAAATTAAAAAGTAACTAGAAGATTAAGTTTAAAACAAAAATTCAAAACAAATACTTGTGTGTGAGATAGAACCTTTAAACCATTTTAGATAAATTTCTATGGTAACATAAACTAGCAAAATAGCTTTAATTACCTCAAAGAATTCACCTATAAAACAGTTTAATAACGCCAACAAAAATGCATGGAAATAAACACTCTCTAGCAGATTCAAAAATATGGCAGCAGGGTGCTTTGAACTAAAGCTCATTGAATAAGCTTTAGTTCAAAGCACCCCACTGCCATTTTTCAGTGCAGGGGATGCTAATACACGTGATGCTCGGGTGTTTTTAATTGAAAGCGCTAGCTAATTAAAGCACCCCTCCCGCCGCACCTTCGGAAGCGTGTGTAAAAGTGCCTCGTTTCTCAACTGAAGGATCTTAAGAAGCAGCAAAGATGCCTCCAGAATAGAGGAAGAGCAGTATAAAATGTAAACACAAATAATAGCTTCTTTGTGCAGACAGGCCAGGGAAACCCCAATACTAAGAAAAACAGTTCAGACACCTCAACATTAGCACAGTACTTCTGTACTTACAAGGTCAGTAACTCTGGGCAGGTTATACAGATCTAACTGCCCTTGTTACCTGTTTTTAGTTATTCTGTTAGTATACCCAAAAGACCTTTGGGAATCAATTATAACATAATTATCATACTAGACCACTGTTAAGTTGTCAGTAGGATTACCTTTTTCTTTTTCTGAAGCACATGATTAGGTAGCAGTTGGTGAAGTTGCCTTCGTTTTACATGCATTGCAGCAATTTTCATATCCATCTCAAACATCTTGCTGTTTATTGCTTGCCTATACACTACATAATGAGAAGAACATTATGATATATTGAAACATTTTATAAAGTGCAGTTATTTGTTCTGGAAGAAAGGATATGTAATTCCAGAGTATCTGTTATTATTCCTTCAGCAAGAGAGGCTGCATCACCTCAGTTTCAAGAAGGAAAGCTACTGACAACCACATCACATGTAATACAAGGTAAAGTAAAAGGTTGAGCTTTAAGAGAAAATGGACTTGTAATCTGGGACTAAAAAGTGTTAAAAGCATTTTAAACCAAAAATATGCAAGACCCTCATCAAAGCTTAAGCTGTTGTCTCACAGATCTAGACACCTGAACAAAGAGGTGAAGGCTTGAAAGACAAGCCTGAAGCAAACTGCACTGTCATCTGATCACCTGCGCATGTGAAAGTGTAAGAACTAAGTAGCTCCTGCAAGGAATGTCCGGCATTTCAAAGTATGAAAAAACTCCCAACTGCCCATGGGTAAGTACACTACTGTTTGGAGCTGGGGCTGCATCATGGGCTGGCAGTTTTTGCAGGTAAGTCAGCTTGATCAGTCACACGTGAAACCCATTCGTGTGTTCACGACCTAAGGTGGAACCAAGAAGTCTAGGAGTCTCAAATCTAGCTTTATATGAACGACACAAAAGTTAAGATTCTTGTTAGGTAAACTTTTCAGAACAGAGTACAACTTTGTTTGTATAGCTTCTTCCATACCTCTACAATGCAAACATATTACAATACTAGTGTTGAAGTCATGTTGTATGGTACATACAAAGAGTTTATGTCAGATATGATATAGTTGACTGGTAAGAAAAGTAATTTGTAAACATACTGTTAGTTCCATTAAATTAATGAAGTTGATTATGAAGGGATCATTTAATGCAGAACATCTTTGTGGCTCATATTCTATTTTATTGTGCCATAAACTGGCTGCATGTGTGGCATGTTGCCATTTATCATGCAATTAACACGAATTATGCAATATATGCAATGTCTGCTAGGATCCTGATACTGCAAGCAAGAACTGCTCTTGTTCCTACGGATAATGTTTTGGGGTCAGTTATGTTACTTTGAAATGTATGATAACAGAACTTTAGAAAGTCCTGCCCAATGAAGACGGTAAACAGGTGGTAAGTGAGCTATAAAGGTAGGGTCTACTTCAGAGGAAAAAAAAGGAGCTTCTAGTCTTCTGATGAAAACGTTGGATTCCCAATTCATCATATAAAACCTACGTTTGATAAAACTAAGAAAGTCTTATGCTGATGAAGAAATGGACTAAGTTACCTGCTAAGTTTTTTGCAGCTCCAGGTTCAATTTATTGTTACATGTGGAGAAGAAAAATATCAAGCCAGATATCCGGCCAGAAAAATCAGACAATTAAGTTGACCCATGCAAATTTAATTCAGCCCTCCTGTGCATGTGCAGAACACACTTTCTCTGTTATGTTAGAGGCAAGGCCGTGGCAGTGCTAAAATTAAATCAACTCTCCTGAATCCCAAATCAAGATCTAAAAACGTGATCTCTTACAAGCATTTAAGAAGTTCCCTATTTATCCTGCACAGTGAATAAATGAAGAGCCCTTAGAACAAACAGACTGATGCTGTAATTAGGGACTATTAAAATGCATATGCACAAAAGGGCTAAATTAAAGTCCCATGTTAAAGGGAATACTCCAATAACTCTTAGCCCTGGAAAAGCCCAGAAGACTTTGTAGAGACTGCATAAATTAGAACTTTTCCGTGTGCAAGGGTCTACACTAGGCTGTTTTCAAACTTTGGAAAGCATAAGTTACTAAAAGCCCTATTTGTAATCCCTCTTATCTAGGGAGGCATCTTTTACACTGCACCTCCTGAGGAAAGGGGGAAACTGAATATCCCTTTAGCTTACAAGGTAAGGGGTAAAGCAAGTGCGGCAGTGGAAGCTGATGCTACAGCTGTTTTATTATCCTTTCTACACAACTCTGTGTGCTTCAGCGCATGCTTAGTAAAGCCAGCAGGTTAAGCGAAGTTTTACTAAGCTGGATCACACCAAGTGCAGATGGGGTGTACGGGGACTTCAGATAGCATCCCGCAATCTTTTGAAGCTGTAATAGTAGGCATTAGTTTGTCTTGCAAGATAACAGAGTTGTGCCAAGTGAGACATCAGCTCACTGAACGTAATCCTTGTTTGAAAGATAAAGCCAAACCCAGTATATGGAGACCATTGCCCACACACCAACATCCCCTTGGCCTTGCTGATTTAATCCAAGGGAAAGGCAGGTGCCAGCACATTTAGAACCAGTTTAGTTGCAGGAGCTGCTAGAGTAAAAAGAGAGAACCTATTTGTTCATCTACTGGGGCTGCATTCCTAGACTGAATACCAACCAGGGTTAAAGATCCCTGTCTACCCAATAACGGAGTAGACTTCAGTTGTACAACCTTTTGGCAGCATTTCTTCTGCTAGGAGTCAGACTAATACTTCCCTCCGAGATGCTCTTCTGCACAAAGCCATTGGCGTCCTAGAGATTGACAGGTTATTTAACCACCACCCAGCACTTGGCATTAAACAGTCGCCAAGTCGCTTATATTACAAATGTTTCTATAAAAGGTATAGGCTGTACAACCTGACTGAGCTGATATTGTGGATAAACTTTAAGCACCAAAATCCCCTAGTTTAATTCTTAGCCTTAGTCAACATTCACATCAACATATAATATTTTGTATATGGTAAAAAAAAAAAACAAATCTACACAAGTACTCACAGTCTGTGAAGTCACTATGGGCAGCTCAAATATAGTTCCCAACCCTTGTGACTTTACAAGTAAGCACTACTGAAAAATACATAAAATAAACAAAACAAGCTAAGCAAATCATACAACAGAACACACACAAAACACCAGGTAGGAAACCAGTGTAATAAAGAAATGCCCCAGAGTGCCATGATTCACACGCCATTAGTTTACACCTCATTAAACCAGAAGGCCCAGCTTGTACCTGGAAGCTCACTAAATGGAGGGTCTGGATGACCACAAGGGGAGCAGATGGATCCCCCAGTTGAGAATGCCAAGTTCCAACCATGAGGATCACGAGTGACCCACAGAGCTCAGCAGTGACAGCGGGACACGAGGAAAGGAAGTCTCCTAGGTATCCAAGTCCTATAGAACAATCATTACTTTAACTGCCTAGTACTATGGTTCTCAACCGCTCTGGACTCAAGGTAACCCTCACTGGACTCAGAGTACATCTCCTTAACTCTGTAAAATAAATTTTGAAGTTGCATGCTGTTCATATTACAACATTTGTATCTTAACCCAGCGGCTGGGCAGCGAGGGCTTATCTTGAGCTTGTGCTTATCCATTTGATCTTCTCACACCTCTCGGCACCTTTCAAAGGATCTGGTGGCTCCCCAGGGTGCTGTGGCCCCCTGGTTGAGAATCACTAGCCAAACAGTACGAGGGCCTGATCTATGGCTGGCACTTATATGCATGATAATGACACACAAGGATCATCACTATTACCTTGCACCTGGGAGCTGAGGTAGCTGGGGCACAACATCAGTGTTATTCTATTACCGTTGAACCATCTGGGCCCCTCTTAGCTAAACCAGTTTTACAGCACAGAAATTCCGCTGACTACCATGCAGTCCATTCTAATTCAGGCCAATGTGAGGCAGAGAATAACCAGGGGCTGTATCCATGGGCTGGAACTGACAGGGGCCAAAGTGCTTCAGCAGTGGATGGCTGGGAACTGCATCTACACTGCAGTCAGAAGGTAGTGGGAAGAGCTAGTGGTGCAGATGCAATTCCCAGCCACCACTTACTCACAGTGAAGCTCATCACTGCCAGGTCCCAGTACAGGTGCAGGTGAACCCCCTTGCTGCTGAAACAATAAGACCTCCTAGTTCTGCAGGCCAGATCATGAGGCTCTGCAGTCTGGATCTGGCCTGCAGGCCATATGTTGCCAACCCCTAATCTAGGAACAGGCCTCCAAGCACTTATAACTCACCCAGACTTCAGGACCATCTTGATGAGATCTTGATTCCAAACCCTAGAAGCATTAGACCTCTCCAAATAAATTTAAGTAGCAAACAACTATGCCTCTAATCTAATTCTTGGAGAAAGCTGAACTGTTCTGTTCTTGCCAACACTGGAAAAGAAAACAATACCAAAAACCCTGAAATCATACAAACAGAAAATCAGGGTTGAAAGGGACCTCATGAGGTCATCTAGCCCAACCCCTTGCTCAAAGCAAGACCATCTCCAACTAGATCATCCCAGCTAAAGCTTTGTCTAGGCAGGTCTTGAAAGCCTCCAAGGATGGAGATTCCACCACCTCTCTGGATGACCTGTTTCAGTGTTTTACTAACCTCCTAGCGAGAAAATATCTAACCTAAACTTCCTTTGCTGCAACTTGAGACCATTGCTCCTTGTTCTGTTATGTCATCACTGAGAACAGTCCAGTTCCATCCTCTTTTAAACCCCACCCCCCCTTTTAGGTAGTTGAAGACTGGTATTAAATCCCCACCTCAGTCTTCTCTTCTCTAGACCAAAAAAGCCCAGTTCCCTCAGCCTCTCCTCAGAAGTCAAACGAAGTAGAAAAGTAACAATGTGTCACTCCACAGAGATACAAGGCAAATTAAACAGTGTTAGTATTAGATAACATTAACTATAGGCTCAAGCAAAAGCACTTGAAATTGGAACATGACAAAAGTTTTTAACTGAATTAAATTACTGTATGCATATTCAGATTAGCTGAGTTACTGAGATTAATCCAAGACAAACTTCAACCATGGAGTGACATTCCAGTAAGTACAAATAATAAGAATAGCTGATGACAGTACATAACAATGTAAAGTGATCAACGGTAAGAAGCTGAAATTTCCTTTCAAATTTCTCTTGGGTTTGTAAACCTATATGGTCTAAATGATTTAAAGTAGGACAAAATGATATCAGCTGAAAACGAATTTATGGTGTCAAGGAAATAACTTATTTTATCTCCTCTCTCCAATTGGTAGGAAACATCCGCACAGACATAGCTCAGAAGTCTAAAATGCTTCTAAATACAGACAATAGAAAAAGTAGAAACTGGCAATAAGGACATCTCGCTGGAAAAATATATTCAGGAATCTTACAGAATGTGACATCCCCAAAAGGAAGTCCATCTACTTGTATATGTAGATATCATTCTATTTGCAAATCAAATATGCACAACATTTCTGCATGTTATTTGTGAGGCATTTCATAAACTAACAGCAAATTCAAAATGAAACTATTTTGTGTGCAATGATTATTTACTGGACCATATCATTTCTCTACATAGTTGCCCCGCTTTGCAGCCCCCAGCAAGGGGGGGGGAGGGGGGGGGGAAGGAGGAGAGAGAGTATGGCAACCCCAATTTTGTTGTGAATTCACACCTAACAAAAGAAGCAGGATAGGTCCAGTGTATTGGTGGGGAGCGGAACTGGGAAAAATGTAGGCTAAATATCAGGATTTTTTTTTTTTTTTTTAAACTGTAAGGAGAATGAACAGGTACCTAGGGAAGTTGTGAAGGTGTCCTTTTGTGCCAGACTATAGTTTTGATATATTTCTGGGGTGCCTGGTAGATGTTACACTTAAAACATGACTGACCATTTAATCATGTCTCAAACAGTAACATAGCCATGCTTTCATGTTATTGCCTTAAATTGAATGTGTGGCCAGTACCAATCAGCTGCCTGGTACACCCAGACTCAGGAAAACACTGAAGTGAAGGGTGACAATGTGCTCCTGAGGCTGGAAGCACTGATCAGCTGACTCCCATTTCCGGCCTCAAGAGCAGATCAGCTGACTGAAGCTTTGAGACAGGTGCACAAGGCACCTGGTTTACTAACTGCCAGTGGAGAGGGAGCCCAGGGATTATGATCTCAGGCTCGCCCTGTACCAGCACTAGGGAATGATTTGGATCTGAACACCAACCTACCATGGGTGACTGGTGCTGCTTTAGTCAAGGAGGGCATGTGCCCCTGCCTGCCTCCACAACTAGTCCTGCTCGAACTGTGGATCAGATCCCATTGCACCTTTAATAGAATGTCTGCCAGGGGCCCGAGTTAAACATATTCGTGTTGCAGCAATGTTGCATGCCTCCATGAATAACTTGTACAAAGGGTAAAGGGGTTAAGAGACAGGAGGCAGGATTGCTGGCTTAAGTGACAAAAGATCCATCAAATCAACAAGGAACTGAACAGTTGTGGTGATGCTTCAGTTGGGCTTGGTACACATTATTTGGTGGCGATGGTGGGGAGAAGTCCCGGGAAGAAACATGGAGGTAAGCATTACAATCAATGGAGCAGCTGGGAAAAAAAACAGCAGTGTCTACCTGGAATCAGGGAAATCTGAAGAATGGAAACAGTAAATCTACTCAAGTACTCAAAGCTATGCAAGCTGGAGAGAAAACAGTTGAACTGGTTTTATAATGTTCAAAACCATACATGGAGGATTAGGGACACAGGTACCATTTAACCCTTTGGAAGAAGCAGGATCTTCTTGCCACGTGGTTTTTGCCCCCACTAAATGCTTTTATTGAAGGAATGGTTGGCCTTGCTGAGGACTCTTGGGTGCACTCCTTTCCCCTCTGAAGAGAGGACACTGCCCTGTCAAAGTGAACTGGAAGGTAGTTCCCCAAGGTAAGGCTATAACCAGAGGGGAAGAAAGGGGTAAGTGGCTGGGGTTTCAAGAGTAAGGAGGAGCCAGGACTCCCCCCTAGTCTATAAGCCACACCTGGGCTGACTTTAGAGACCAGACAAAGCTGGGGCTCCCAAGATTGCTGAAAGAGGGGGTGGGGGTAGGGAGGGAAGACCATAACAACTTCACTGGAGGTTTTTAAAGAACAGGTTTGTCAGACATCTCTCAGGGTTTACCTAGATGCACTTGGACTGCCAAAATGCAGGGAAATGCAGTAGATTACCCTTATGAGGTCTCTTTCAGCATTACATTTTTATGATTCTTTGTAGAACCACTTGGCTTAGTATTCCTGCTAAACACTACCGAGTAAGGAATATGCTATCACCTTACAGTACTCTATTTTGTCTAGGAGGAAGTCAGAAGTATGTGGCTTCAATTCAATACAAAATTAATATGGCGGCAGTTACAGGAAGTTTCTTGAATTGAGGTTACATTTCACCCCTGAGCTGTTCAATTATCCACTGCTGAATAACCCAGAGAAGTGAACTTCTGTACTGCTGAATATCCCAGGTAGTCCTAAAAAACCACCGATTTCCACCATCAATAAATCAAACAAGTGGGATTTATGTATCACTCAGTCATTAGTCAGATAGTTATTTTAGTTATACTGGGACAGGGAAAGCAATTTACTTTCGAATAAGAATGGATTTTACTTACATACAGAGATGCCAAATATTTTCAGATTTATTTTGCTTGCCAAAGCAAAGAAGAGTTATGAAAGCTAAACTGAATTGCTCAACAACCCCCTACCCTCCCTTATTCTTTTGTTTAGGAAGAAGGGACAGCAATTAAGGGAGAAAAGGAACATACTACATACAGATGTCCAATCAAAATGGTTTAATGTCTAAATTAAACTAAAAGCTGGCACTGCATTGTGACAAACATCCCAACATACCATTTATAAATGGTCTTGTATTTTACCTTAGACTGCAATTTTTTTTTTTTTTTTTTTTTTTTAAGGGCAAATCACATAATAGTACGTACTTGCCATACTGTTACCTAAAAACAGCTCTACCTGGGAATCGATAGACAAAGTTTTATTCCATTTTTTTTTTTAAATACCTACTTCCTCCCAGCCACATCCTCCAGATGTGGCCCATGTTTGACACTCACCATATATAATATGCCAAGTTGAGCAAGAGAATAAAATGTGCGTGGTGTTAAAAAGCTATACACAATATATAGTATACAATATATAATATATTTTGAAGACATGCTTCATGAAATAATTTCTGAAAGCATGGCAAGTAATTTTGCACCCACATGTGCCTAGGTGCCCGGCCTTAAAAAAAAAATTTAAAAAAAAAATCACAGAATCAAAGAGAGTTACAGCTGGAAGGGACCTCAGGAGGTCATCTAGTCCTACCCCCTGCTCAAAGCAGGACCATCCCCAATTACATCATCCCAGACTTAACATTTGAAGTCATTCAAGCAAGCGCTGGTATTAATTTGTTGTACATTTAACCAAAAAACACTTAGATTTGTATACTTCCATCTATGAAAAGTAAATAAAATAAAAAATTTAAAACAAAGCCAAAATTGTTTAGCACAAATATATCAGTATTTTTAAACTTTTAGAGAAATCAAGCTTACCTGTGTCTGTAAAAGACTGGATATCATATGTAAGATCAACACTTAGATTTTCAGAATTTTCAGTTTTCTTAAACACTAACCCAATCACCCACATTGTACGAAATTCTTCCCTGCAAAGTTGCACAAAAAAAGTCATGTAATATTTTAGTAAAACACTGAATTAAAAAATATGAATATCAATCATACTACTCATATTGCATGTTTTATCTAACTGTAGTTATATATGATAATATTTTCATGGTAGTGATGCCAAAGTATAACACATTTAAAATATCTAAGAATCCAAATGGTGCTTGAAAAATCATAAACAAGCTGTCAGTTTTTTAAACTGCCTACTAGGCAGTTTCACTGACTTTTTTCAAAAAGTCAGTCTAAGCCAAGCAGTATAAAACATCAAGGCTTGCTTTTTAATTCTCAGGTTTAGTTTGCTTATACACAAAGACTTCAAACTTACCTTTCTCATCATAATCTATATAAACAAGCTACAATAATCACACTGAAAATGAACACACTTCTTCGGCACTATGAACTCAGAGACTTCTAACAAGTCTTGGGGGCCACATAGGCATTCTGATTCCACCAAAGAAGTGGACCTTGGGCCCAACTGCCCTCCTTTTTTTCCCCACTTAAGAATGCTGAAAACCCCTTGAAGCTGAAGAGAATGAGTACTGTTAAGGGGCTATATTTGAAATCTATTAAAAACTACATAAAGCTACTAGTAAGCAATCTCTTTCAAGCACTGCTTATATAGATTATCCCACTATTGGACAAATAATTGGCTATTACAATCCACAGAGGAGATGGGTCTATTTTAAAGACTTGCAAAACTGTTCTTACAAAATAGAACTAAATGATACATTAAGATGGCAACATTTATGGACTGAACAATGCAAGTGATGTTAGACTATTTCCCAAATTTGCTATAAAGAACTCTTTGATCATGCATGTTTGACCTATACAATATTCCTGAGGTTTGAACATTAAGTGTAGCCCAGAGTAATAACCTTTAGGGAAATACCCAGTCAGTTCATTCTTAAGAGTCAGGAAAGCAAAATAGTACAACAAACTCAAGCTACTTTAAATCACTCTTAAAATCATGGACTTCCTTCTTTCCTACAGGTTTCAGTTTAGAATTTCTCAAATTAGTCATTGGGTCTTTCAAGGAGCAAAACCAGTAACTACATATGTATTTCAAAATCCAAATCTAGTCACTTAAATCAGCCTGACTCTATGGCTTGCCTTGCAGAGCCACTACAGAATTAAAACTATGCTTACCAACTTAGACTAAGTTGATACTCTAGTTGCCAAACTGCAATACAAAAATTGAGCATCAATCAACAGTAGTATTTTCAAGAATAGTGTGCAGTGTGTTCTGTGCTTCATTTTAAAATTTCCTATTGCTATACAAGTTCATCTGTATGCAAGACTTATTTTTAGAAGAGGGGATACCTACCTATGCAACTAGTCTCTGGAGACAACTTTATGTTAGTACAGGGGTCGGTGACCCCTGGCGCACGTGCCGAGCGTGACATGCGAGGCCATTTTGCTTGCCAGCCCTGACTCTGGGAAGCTGCTGCCAGCGACGGAGCCCAGGTTGCTCCAAGCAGGGTTTGCAGCATCCCAGCTGCCTGCTGGGAGCAGCCCGGGAACCCGGCTGGCAGCAGCTCCCCAGAGCCGGGGCGGCTGCAGCTGGGAGGCTGCAAACAGCTGTGCCAGGCTCTGGCACCAGCTCCGCATCAGCACGAGCTGGCACGCCTCAGAGCAGGCAGTGGGACGAGGCCCAAGGCAGCGCAACCCCGGTCTCTCCATGGCTCCCAGCATGGAGGTGCAGTGGGCTGGCTGCAAACAACTGTGCCGAGCTCATCACCTCCGTGCCAGGAGTGGGGGAGAGACCGAAGCTGCGCTGCCTCAGGCCCCGCCCCTACCGCCCACTCAGAGGCGCGCCTGCTCACACCGATGCAGAGCTGGTGCCGGAGCCCGGCACAGCTGTTTGGAGTCTCCCAGCTGCAGCAGCCCTGGCTCTGGGGAGCTGCTGCCAGCTGGGATCCCAGGCTGCTTCCAGCAGGCAGCTGCAAGCCCTGCTTGGAGCAGCCAGGGCTCTAGCAGCCACCCAGAGGCGGGGGAGCTGCTGGCAGCCAGAGCCCCGACTGGGGGGCAGCAGGGCATCCTGCCATGTACCCCTTGTTCCCATTTTGTGTTTCTACCATGCCGGCACTCCAGCACCTTCCGAGGTAGGCATTATGGTGCTTTTCGGCACTCTGGCCAAAAAATATTGCCTACCCCTGTGTTTAATAAAGCATTAAAAATGCATCTGCATCAGAAAAAATATACAACTGTTAATTAGGTAGGCTGATACAAGTGTACAGCTATGTATATAGTAGAATTGGACAACATTTTAAGAAGCAAAAAAGATGGCTTACTTGTCAGGATTCTCCTTGGGTGCTGGGAATGACTGAGGATTCACATGAGCCAGTGTAATGAATTCATTCTTCTCCAAGCTTCCGACTAGAATACGAATTTTTGATTCCACCAAGCCCACCCTGTATGAATGCTACTTATTAATTAAGTTTTTATTAGTACCTCAATACCAAAGAAATAAGACTCTCTTTGCCACTGGTTAAAAAAACCCAAAATATATGTTTTGTTTCCGACAATTAGGAAATATTAGATAACTAATATTTAACCACAAGACAAGTTAATTCAGATTAATAGCCCCCACCCCCCAAAAAATCAATGCAGCTCGTTTAATTGAACTATAGAGGTCTTGTCTTGAAATTCAAAATAAACCTGGGCCAAACCACCTGTGACCAAGATGAGTTTATAGTAAAAGACTTTCTGGGTGCAATGATTATGTATTAGCTAGACCTGAGGACTAAAAGTATACACTAACAGGAAAGATTAAAAGCTGAACAACTGAGAAGAATTAAAGAATTATTAACAAAATACATGCATTAACTAACTCCTAAAGAACATGGAAAAATGTATTTAATAAAAAGATTTACCACTTCCTACAAATTCATATAGTGTGAAAAGACTCCTCACAAACACCTGGGAACCCCAAAGAGTGTTATAACAAAACCAGAGAGGATGGTGGTGTGGGGAAGGTGGGAAAGATTTTTTTGTTTTGTTTTTAGAAGAAACTTAAGATCTCCACCTCCAAACCACATATTCAGACCTTCGGCACATACTAAAAGCAAATACGGTCATGCAGCCAATTTTTAGAAGTTTTTTGCAGGTCATTTTTAAGTAGAACAAACATAGCCAATGCAACCCTTTAATTATTAACTCTCAGATTATGCTCATAAATTTAAAATGTGTAAACAAATTTCAACTTTATTTTTTTTCATAAAACCTGTGTAAGATAGTAAGACATGCCCACAGTTTGTGGCATGAGAGTACTTTGAAATGGGAAGTTTCTTTAAAAAAAAAATTAAAGATCAAGCATAATACTCACCATTCTAGTCGCTGCTTTTCTGTCGGTGCACTTGCTAGAAGTACAATATAATGCCTTTGGAGATAAAGACAACATACTATTCTATTTATACAGCTGACACTGAACACTCAAAGTAATAAAAACATCATTACTTTTAATTTATAAAGCGAGAAACAAAGGAATCAAAAGGTTAAAACGGGTACTGTATAATAAAACCAGATAGCTTAAACCCTTAAGAGACTGAACGTTGCCAAATTATAGTTTGAGATATTTCAACTTATTGCAAACCACAGCTGCAATCTAACACCTCTGCCTGGTAATAAAAGTATGGAGAGAGTAATCTTTAAAGTAGACTATCAGAATCGTTACAATAAGAATATCTCTTAAATTGCTCATTCAAGGGACTGAATAGTCAATTTATACAAACAAAAAAGGTATTTTGGCCATAACCGAGTTATTTCTGATGGAACTACAGCTAGATAACTAAATAGCATATGCTAAAGGTAAATATGGTTATGAAAAAAGTAGCTTAAAACAATGTTAAGATTGAATTCAAACACTTTTCTGAAGGTTTCTAAAGCGCGTTTCCTCTCCCTTTAGTCCCGAAGTCTCAGCAGTATCCTAGAATCATCATCATGCTTAGCAGCTGTCAAGTAAAGTTTAAAAACGTCAAATCCAAAAGTTCTGGCTTTAATTGAAGGCAGAGCTCCAATTTTGCTTAAAATTGGGGGATGGGAGGAGAGGGAGCAGTGGGAGCAGGGGAAAGTAATTGAGCAATAACTGAAAGAACAGAATTAAGTCTTTTTATTTTAATTCGCCTTAAAACTAATGGAACAAACTCAAATTCAACAAAATCTTGGGGGGGTGCAGGGGGAAGTGAGCTACACAGTTAACTGTTACAGGTCTAAGACCCAAACTTGTAAAGACAGTGGAAGGTAATCCATTTTAAAAACTAAGTAACCCCATTTTGCATTATTCACAAAGCATCATGTTATCAGCATTTTGGGTCCTTTGGGGGGTGGGGGGGGTCAGATTTTTTTAAACTGTATCTTAGTATATTTCATATTACATATACAGACACACAGACCTAGTTAACTTACTTAAAAACTAGTGAAATTGTAGTAAAGAGATTTCCTAGCATTCTAGGTCCACAAATCATGAAACCAACACAAAACTAAACAGATCAATAAATATGGATTTCCACATTTACATTGTTTAGAGATATGTGGAAACTGAGTAGAAATATTAACACCTATTAATCCAAAAGGGTAACTTGAAATATACTTTACTAACTACACAGGTAAATCAAAGGATATGCTTTTTTGTTTTTAAATGGCCAAGAAAATGTTATTTAATGATTCATTTGGCTACGTTGACATTTTTGTCTTGTGCGTCTTTGTTGAATGAAATCCCCCTCCATTAACTCCATCCCCCGCCCCCCACTAGAAATGAGATGAACCCTGAAATTAGCAAATATTTTTGCACAAAGATTCGCAAACCTTAAGAATGAGATTCTGCTTAATATTAATCCTACTTTATCTGAATTTTAGTTATGCAATTTGAATACTGATTTGTCCTTATGTATGGTTTATTAAAATATTAATTTAAAAATAGCTGGTGCCCATTAAGACTTCTACACAACATCCTGAGAATTTCACATAATGGCAGAGGCAGCTTATTAGTTACAAATTTAAAATGGAAGACATTTGAAAAGATTTGTTTTCTATTTGGTTAATGGAAAAAAAAAATGCTTGTTCTGAGGGCCTTTAGATGTGGCTAAAGGCAACTGAAATCTGAAATTAGTAAAGACTGCTTTGTTACTGATAAGGTGATCAGATATAATTACATTCTGTTTATAAAAGCTGATATTGAACTGGGCCTGTTTGTTCAGAAAGGGGTAGTAAACACAAAAGTGAAAAGAGGGATATAGGGAAGGGGTATAAAACTAATCTAGTATTGTTTTTATTACATAATAAGCAATGAAAAAATGTCCATTGTTTTAATGATAGAACATCAATTTATAGCAACTGATGGCTCACAGAAAAATACTTTAAATGTTACAAGTCCCATTGCTAAATATTAAAGGAGAAAAAAAAATCTATCGTTTTCAATTTTCTTTAAAAAGAAAGGTTAACTCAGTGGCACCTTTTTATCATAAAATGAAATTCCCATCTTGTTGTTATATTTGAAATTTTAGCTGCAATAGTTTTCCTGCCTTATGTCCCTTCCTGAACAAAGGCCTTTATTCACAGATTTCCACAAAAACCTTATTTAGTAAGCTGTTCTAGTTTTTACTAGTATCTTGAATATAACCCTCCTCCTCCCGCCCTGCAACTATTATCTCATTTTTCATGATTTCTGGAACAGAATTTTGTAATGCATAACTGAAGGGGTCCAATTCCAAGTTCTTATATAATATATGGCCTCCCATATGTTAGAAATATAGTTTTGATTTAATTGTCCTATTAAGATATACTGCACGTAAAAGACTCAAATACCCCTTCATAAAGTTATAGACTATCTACTTATTAACACTGATGTGCATTACTAAACAGGGCAGTGTTGCAATACACTACATCAAGAAGCTGTTTTATTATCCATCATACATAGTTTATTTTAGAGTTCTAATGAGTCTGAGACATTTGAGTATCATGTAATGTTACACTGAAAATGTTATGCCGTGATATCATTTATTTATTTATTTTTTCACTCTTATGACTACACCCAGGAGTGATGAAAATCTTTTCTAATTTAGAAAAAAAGGAAAAATTGTACCAAGTACAAGTAGTGTGAGATTTACACCTCCCAGCTGGAAATGCTTGTTGTTAATTAATCAGGCAAATCAGACAATCTATTTCAAACCCCAATGCATTGCTACATGTACAGTACCCTCCAGATTTCTCTAGCTAGGCATATATTCCAAGTTCACTTTCTTTGTTTAATGATAACAAATAAATTCAGTCTATTCTATGACAAATGTGAGATTTACAGTAGTAACTCCTATGAAAAGTGATACACAAACGTTTAAGGGAAAAGATAGAAGTATTTGTTTAATTCTTTTAAGCTGTCAACCTAAGGTAAGGATCGTGGTGCTTTTCCTTCTGCACGGAACCAACTATTATTTTATATATCAGTATTAATAAGTCTCTGATGTATATATGGGGATCAAACAGGAGAAAAACCTAGTTCTCAGATGAGACTGTATCAAAGTTGCCAAAATTCATTTTCCTAGTGCTGATTTCTTTTAATTATTAAAAGTAACCAATATTTAATCTAATACCTTAAAAAATACTGCTCTAAAAGTTAAAGCTCCGACAGTTCTGATAAGTAGGCTTCGGAGAACCACCCCTCTCAAGAAATAAAGAGAGTTGGACTTTTTTTTTCTTTCCCAGTCTTGTGCACATGTTGCTGGTAATGATTATATCCCATTGTTGTGATGCTGCAATTACCGATACTGGTGCACAATGTTGGGTTAAATGTATACTAGAGATTTTACTTCACGTAAATTAGAATGGTAAATGTCTGCTGCTCCCAGATCCCCCACCCCTCATTTTGAAAGGATTTAATAAACAAAGGAAAGTAGTAGGGAATATATCAGCTGCCTTAGCCGATACTGCTAACAAGGGACTACAAACAAAAGAATTTAAAAAACCCTAACTTTTGGAGACTTTATGAGATTTTAAATTGAATCTCCAAGGTAGAACATAAAAGATTATCAAATGTTTTAAAGATTTTAATCATGCAAAAAAGTATTGAAACAAAACACAGACACATCATGATGGTCATCAGGCTTTTTTTAATGGGGGAACTGCATATTTCAGTGTTATTTGGATTTGTACATAACCAACCACCCAGCAAAGGAACATTGGCGTAGAAAATATTTAATCTTTACTCAAAATGGGTCTCCAACAATACTTCAATTGAGGGCAAATAAAATGTAGTCCATTTGAATAATCCATATTTATTATATAGAGTACAACTTCAGCAAACCCAATATACATTAAAAACAAGCCTCTCCCCCCAACCATCATGTACCATTAGAAACCCTTAAAATGTTAAATGTCAAGGTCCCCCCCACCATGTTTCTTAAACCCCTCCCCACATTTAAAAAACAATGAAGACTTCTAAAAGTGCCTTACTTAATGTAAAAAGCATTACATAATTAAAATTAAGATATATGCAGTAGAGACTAACATATTCTGAAGCTCTGACCAAGCTTTCTTAAGAAAAGCTAGTGATGAGTACACTTGTGCTGAATGAAGTGCCAGATGTACTAGAGGAATCTTATTGCCACAATTATGCTGTATATTACTGTAACAAAAGACAGATCCATGGTTCTCAGTGGGTATTCATCTTAAATATCTATTTTACACAGCTGTTTTATCAAATATTTTGCTTGTGGCTTCATTTGAAAACAGGATACATCATATGCCTCCTCCCTATTAAAAGTTGGGCATTTCCGCCAGAGAAACATTTTCATAATTGGTCAAATTAAAATTTTCATTTTTAAATCATTTATAGCCACCCCATAACACTCTTGATATCTGGTCATGAGCTATTACACTACAGAAATGAAAAATGGTGTACAATTAAATAATTTATATTTCCTATAGGAAAGAAAACACCTGATCTCTCAGTTGGGGGAAAGGCCCTCAGAAGAGAACAATTTTCGGTCTTTTTAGGAAAACCATTAAGACACTTTAGGGGTTTCTAATGGAAGTGTGCAGCCACTTTAATTATGCTGGCATAAACACCTTTGCTATTAAAGATCATTATTTTTAAATGGGTTTATCTTAAACATTCTGCCATGCCATAAAATACATACTTGTACTTTTGAAAGAAGTTTGGAGCTTCAAAAAGTTTGGACCACTCTGCCTTACTCAGCAAAATTTCATCTGTGATAGCAAGACCTGAATTATAAAAACACATTTAAGCCTTTTTCACAGCTGTTCCGTAGCAAGTATCCGTAATAATAATAATATGAATAATAATAATAATAAACCCTGAAAACAGTGATTTACTAAGTAGAGGCTACTTCAAGGCAAATTATTCTTCTCTTTGATTGCAAGGAATTGTTTCAATAAAACTAACTCCGTGTACTTTATTTGTATGGTTACTGGTTATTTGTACTGTGAAATTTTAAAACGAAGTTTGATTGCAAGATTAAATGCAAGTGGACCAGATTAATTTAGTAGAGGTTTAAAATACACAAGAGATTATTTCTCTGGTATGCTTCAGAGGAAGTGTGCTCAGTCCAGGAAGGAAGACAGAAGGTTTGCCTCACAGAGCTTAAAATCTCTAGTGAATGGGTTTGTTTTGGGTGAATGAAAACTGTAGTGGGGAAGAGACCTGCTTTCATGTTGATGAAAATCAACATTTTATCACCTGTATTTATCAACAATACTTTCTCAGTAGGTGTGCATTAGTTGTCAGAAATATTACTTGGGTGAGGCAAGACAATGCTCTTCTAATTTCCCTTACAGAGCTAAGCACATTGCCATCTTAGCTTTATTAGTATCTACCAAAAAGTGACACAGTAACAATATCATCTGTCATATAGCAATGTAGCTCATAAGGTCACCAGAACAGCCTACAAAGATAACTAAACGCTTGAGAAAGCCACTTGCAACTAAGAGTATCTGGAAGGAAGAAATAGATTTTTTTATATAAACATTCTGCTGAGTTGAAAAAGTGATGATCAAAATATGCAGCACTAATGAATAACTGTGTGCACTATGGAAAGGATTCCTGGGTCAATCAGCAATCTCAAAAATAGTATACCTGTGATGGAACTGTTTAAATCCTTTCGGAATAAGAGCATAAGATAATACTTACCTTGTTTAAACTCCTCAACCATGACCATCCGTGTAGAAACGGACACATTGTAGGTAGAGTTCTGCTGTGGGTATGCTGGTGTAATTATAGGCATAAGATGGTACCTATCACTGGGGTTTACCTATATATAACAACAGCCAATCAGTTTTCTTCAAGCATACATAAAATAAAAAAAGTGGACTTTTCCCTTTGCTAAAATGAATCTAATGTAACACAAGATCTGAGTTTACAGACCTATTTGATTTAAAGAGTGTGAACAGAAGTTTAGAATACTCAATGATAATTTGTTCACATTTCTGACAGGCAACCTATATAAAAAAATAAGTTATTTCCAGACTCAGCTGGAATGGGAAAGATCACAACCCACTGGCATGCCAGACAGTCAATACTAGGCCAAAAATAGTTCAAATCGAACGGTTAAAAAAACCCAAAACAACAACAACAAAAAACAACACACAAAACAATGGTGTGGATGGTAACCTGCAATCACACAACCACTGGTACCTCATTACCACTTGAACACTAGGCACCTTCAGAGAAATGGCTGCTTTGAGACCCTTTAAAATATACTGTCCGATTTATTCCTGTAAGACTGCTGATAATGAAGAGCCAGCCTAAGAGAAATTGCTCTGTGCATCCCGAGGGAAGCAGCACTTGTGTTAAAGTATCCTTTAATAAGAACAAAACATGGAGAAACAAAAAGGGAGGCACCACCACAGATGGAAAAAAAAGAAAAGAAAAAAGTTTTATTTAAATAGCCTTAGGCTAGTGATCTTGTCTTTTGTCAGGTTGTAAATCTAAAGTTAAGGTTGAAACCCTATCCTTATCTTACCCTGCTCCGTTTAGCCATTGCAGCACATACTGTTTTATAACAATCACACACTGACCTCAAACCCCTACAATAGGAACAACTGGGTAACTTAAGAGCATGGTTTTAATCTTACTTTACACCACAAGCCTGACATCATTTAAATGTGGACTTTTATTCAAGTGTATAAAAAAATATTTTAAAAGTTCACACAGTAAAACACTGTACTCAATTTCTCCCCAAATGAGTAACTGCAAATGGCTCCTCATGGTCAACTGGAGGAATAGCATTCTGCAACTTAAGACCCCCCCCCGCCCAATACTTTAAAGAACAAGGATTTTGCTTAAATACAGGAGTTATTCCGAGATGCTAAATGGATTTCATTTTTAAAGTTCTAAACGTAAATAATAGGGATACTATGAGTTGGTGTCAACATTGTGATTACTAAAAGAAAGGCAGAGTAAAAAACAAACCAAAAAACTCACACTCTTCCTTGGTTCAAACTACAAAAGGACTTATTAATGTTAAATGTAAGGAGTTCAGTATTCAAAATACAGTATTTATAAACACCTGAACTAAAGCAGTTAAAATATAATTCTAGAAGTAAATGTCCTAAATAAGTTACCTAGTCAGTGAGGACTGGCATGAAGTCAAAAAGTTGACCAAAACCATTTTTGTGCATATAGCTTTTTTATATACAAGTTATATATGGAGTGTTTATTTACACCACTTAGTGCTGAAATTGGCTAGAACCACAGATATAGTGCAATCTACACAGTTTCAGAAGTGGACAATTTACAAGATGTAAACTAATTTTGTTCTATGCATTGAAGGAGAATTATAGTTACCATTAAAAATGTAATACTCAAATGTCAAATTCATTTATAACCTAAAAACAAAATTTACCTGGGGTTTCTTTAAACATCTGACTTCTCTATTGTACAGTGTGAATTATTTATAGGGGAAAAAAATAATACACTAACCCTTGGGTCCCATACAGGCAAATTAAGATTGCATTCTTCTGGCTGTTTCAATAGCACTGGATTTGGCCATTCCCTGTTTAAAAAGATTGTAGCACTGAATAAGACTACTGGATACCATTTATATATTATGTTAAACATACAATTTTTTTGAATGAGATATTTCTTCATTCTGTCTCATGGAATAACAAGAGTTGAAATATGTTCTCAAGGAAAAATTAGAACAAATCAGTCTACTAGAGGTTCTTGGTTCCTGAACTGAAGACCAACACAACTACAGTTTATAACTATGTTCTTTAATGCACCAAAAGGCATTATCTGGGACTCTTAATTAAGGTGTTTAAAAATATATATATATATATATTGTTCATCAGCACACTCCTTAAACTTGCTCTTCCAACATAATCATAATCAAAAGAAGTCCTGTCTGTAAAGATTAATACTAATGTTGTCTTCATGCTAGCTGTTCCTGGAAAAATCTAAAGAACAGGCCAGACTGCAGCATGATTAATAATTGCAAAATGCATGCATTAATCAAGATTTTTTCCCATTCAGATTTCTAAAGAAAAAGCATGCAGAAAGGAACATACTTTTTTCTAAATGAAACACTACTGCTCTTCAAGATGCTCTTGCTCCCCACTGAATAAACCTATTTTCCTATAGACAGTAGAAGCCAATAAAGGGATACTTTAAATGGTCTAACAGCCAAATTAGTTTTTTCAAAATACTATCATGGCATACCTGCAGTTTTTCCCCAATATTATTTGTGCATTTATGTTCTTGAATAATGCACAATCAATTTCTTAATTGATTGTGCATAAGATTGACCATAATTAAAGTGTAGGAATTGCATTATAGCGAGGAGGTCTCAACTGATTTGCTGAACAAGCAAGTGATAGTCAATTAACTACTTAGAAATTAAATTACCAATAAATAGTATAGCCAGAGAGGGAAAAAAGCCACTGGACTCAATAACAGTAAAACTATAGTAACCATTTTCATGTTTGGAAGCAAAAGCAGAGGTGCTCAATTAAAGGTACTGATAACTTTGAACAAGGACTCTACAAAGTCTATTTTCATTGTAGCATCTCATATGGAATGCCAAATAATTTATCCCGTGATTATAGGTCTGTTGTGCATATTGTCCCATTCAAGAAAATGTTATTCAAATTGTCCTCTGCAAGGTATATGTTTTGCCTATTTACTCTACACTTCAAGGAATAAATTTAATAAAAAAGGTCATATACAACTCACTGACACCAGAAACAGAGAGAGCAAGATTTTATGAGCTACCTACTTAACTTGGTACCAGCTGAAGAAATGTCATAGAAACAAGACTAAAATGTAGTGTCTATAAACAATTTTATTTTAGTGTAATCTAAAATTAACATACCATTTAGAAAATACCAAGAAAAATTTATGTACAAGAGTTGATGCTATTGCATTTGGATAAAGCTGGCAAGTTCTTGCTACTAGCATAGCCCAGGAAACACCACCAAGGAAACCTAATATATTGGAATAGATGTTGTGGCCTGTTGATGCAAAGGGAAACAGAGAAAAGAAAACAGTTAGTCATTATATTAGTCTCAAGTAGGGATAAGAATTTAAGAATATTTTGCAACAGTATTACTTACGTTTTGCCCACAGTTTGATAGCTCTCAGTGTTAACCTGAAGTTGTCAATGTTTGGTACTAGATGCAGAATTTCATCGGTCACCCGGCAACCTGGGCAAAAGAAAGCACATTACCTCTAATACTTAAGAAAAAATACTCATGCATCTTTAAACCCACTCCTAATGCTACCAAAATTAGTACAAGAAATTAGCTTTAATATTTTTGGTAGTGTTAGAGTTAATGTTGTAGATGCATGAGAAGCAAGGATTAGTTATTTGCTTGTCTGCTATCCCCAGGAATTTTTCTTTTCTCCAATTTCACAGCCACATAGACTGCTTTTAGTACTTGCTGTCCCTTAGT